AGGGACCTTAAAGCCTACAGTGCATTGTGTTCCAAAAGAATGTTGTTCATGTATTATTTACATTCATGGTAGAAGCCTGCCTTTTTTGGCATACAGTCACATATAAGTTTTTGATCAGTGTCAATCATGCAGGCACAAACCAAATAATTATTGTTTAGCTCATCAAAACCTTGCAGATAATGGGAAAAACAAACAAAAATACAAACAAAAACAAATCAAACAACAAAAAATAAAATAAAAATACATTATATACTAAACTACACAGGGAACAAATTAAAACACTAAATGACATAAATAATTAAGATGCATCAGATTTATATTCTGATGGAATCTTTATCCTCTATTCAATACATAACAGGTCAGATGGCAGTGAAGACTGTGGTTTGAGACCCTGCTCTTACTGTTTTTTAGAGTCTTTGTGGTGCAGCTGTTCAAAGTGATGCCATTAATTTCTGTCTGCAGTTTCACATCCTCCTCCAGCTCCTCCAGCTCCTCTTTGAGTCTGGACATCACCATCTCCTTCCCTCCTTCTTGTCTCTGCCCGCACATGAACACTCTGTGAAGCCAAATAATTTATGATGTAAAGCTGTAGACAGATTTCGCAAAATGCAGAACAAAAACTAAACTCACAGAGCATTTTCCGTTTGTTGGCTGTAGTGGAACGTTATGTCCTTATTGATTTCCTGTTGTTGGTGCTGCAGCGATTCAACTTCAGCTTGAAGACGCTCGATCTCAGACTCAAGCACCTTCACCTCCTCGGTGTTCTCATCACTCATCTTCTCCATCTTGAAGGATAAAAATCAAATGATTTAGTTAAAACAAAGACACGCATATTAGTTTGCCAGCACAACTTTATAACTTATAACTTAGAAATTTACAGATTAAAACCACAAATCTACAGGAAAAGAAAAGAAAGAAAAAAAAATTGTACTTAGAAGAATTATATATTTTCAATCTGAAAAGTTGGATCAACTTCATTATATTACAGACATTGCTAATTTTCATTTAATATCAGTTAATAATCTAATCAACCAATAATTTTATACTAATTATTGGATGCAATAAAGAAATGGTTTTGACTCTAACGGAGAATCACTGTTTTACCACAAACAACCCTACTTTCCTTCTCTTAACTCTCTCGTCATGGATGCTTGTTCCAGTTTAGGTTAATCCAGCTTTGCAGAGTGAAGTGATAGGAATCCATGACGCTTGGACTAATAGGGTAGCTTTGCATTTGAATTCAAAATTAATCTCTCTTTATTTGACACTGGTGAAACTCCTCATTTTATCCTCTCCCTTTCAATTAACTTTAGTCAGACGAATTTACTGAAACGGTGAAAAGTGAACACAGCACCACTGAAGAGGCGCTTTTTCGAGACTTTTAAACTATAAACGCACCAGTTAAGAAAAAAGGTGTCAAAGTGGTTACGCTTTCATTAGTTGAACCAGTAAATCCCGGCTAACGAGACACTATAAAAATAACAACAACGTTAACAACAACAGACAAACTTTCGAGCTAACTTTCCACAGCTGTTTCCGTTGTGAAGAAGGAGTGTTTTTAACAATTCACAGTTCTATGTCAGTAGCTGATATAAAAGAGTTCTGCCATTATTAAGTAATGATTATCTGTATTTACCTGTTGGTTTTCCGTTTCTTAGCAGATGGAACCGAGCACTTCGGAAACTCGCGCCCTCTGGATTCTACCACTTTTCTAAAATCCGAGGGGGGAAGAAATTGCCTCCTTGAATAACAGTCACGCCAGCACTATGGCTCTGTTAAAACAAATACTACTGTTGTATACATGTTTGCATTTTAAAGTACATATAAGTGTTTTATCATCGCAAATGAGCCACAAAATCATAGCCCACCAGGAATTTGGGTGACTCCTTCACCCCACGTAGAAATAATGGAAATCCGCAGCTGTACCTAGTGTGTATTATTTTTTCTCCTTTATCAATAAAATGGAATATAACAATTATATGTTAATTAGCTTTCTTAAGTAAGCACTTTTATAATTAAAAAATGTACCGGCATCCCTTAGCAGCGAGTTTGTTTATTTATTCATTTTTTAACCACCGTTGAGTCTACGGAACATTTGGGTGGTTCCCGAGAAAAATGTTACGGACGGATTTATCTGCAGGACCTCAGCTCCGGACAGAAATTGTGGTAACGCCAGCTGGATACATGTGAGGTAAACATTTGTGGCTTTTCGGACTTTTTATGTAAAAATGCTCGCGATAACAAATAAGAGTAGTTATAAATCGACTCACTTAGAGATCATATATGTAGTAGATGCTCTATGATTTATGTTATGCTCTATTTCTGGAGTTCCTCCAGGCTGAAATGGATTTACTGGATCCACTCAGTTGCTTACAGCTAAAACCTGAGGCTCTGCTCTCAGTCCAGTCCTCTTAAGTTTATTCATTTTGGACGCTGCTTTAAAAGGTGTTTCAGCTTTAAAGTTATTATGAAGTCTTTGGTTTGTAATTTCGTTGGATTGTGCTGTATTTTACTGAGAAGCACAATGTGCAGTGCAATGGAGTGGACACAATATTAGAAACAGTAAAACACAATTCAGAACCGTACAGACGAGCAGATCTCATCTGGCCTGATCTTTCATGCGAGCAGTGAGAGTATCTGTAGATTTATGAGAAGCATTTTGCTTTTCGCTTTTTGTTTGAATATGAATTTATTTTTGTATGACTTTCCTGCATGTTTTACAAATGGTTATGTATTCAGTATTTATAAATGTGTAAAATATGCGAGGTAGTGATAGTGTACTTACTATGCCTGGTAGATCAGCTGAACATCAATTTACAAAGCTTTTTAAAGTGTAGCCACCTTATACTTACAGTCACAGCAATGCGGCGTCTGTACGTCGGTGGGTTAAGCCACACGGTCACTGAGAAGGATCTGAAGGATCGATTTGGAAAGTTTGGAGCCGTTGAGGATGTAGAGCTCCGGACCAGGAAAGACTCAGAGGGTGAGGAATCCAGTATACACTGACACACTTTGACAGCCAGAATGGTGACAGTAACGATGTTTAAATTCTGTTTATCTAATTTTATTGAAATCACCTTTCACATTCAGCACTGTCACTATCAGGTACTTGTACAATTGTTGTATTGGAAGGCATCTGATATTAACGAACCAGCAGCATTCATTTATGTATAACTTTATTTGTTAAAAGTTAAAATACAAAGAAAACTAAACTCTAAAGCATTTTCTTATTTTACTGTGCATTTCTTTTTAAAACAAGAAAACATACTTAAAGTTTGAACTTCTTTATGATCATTATGTTTTGTTCATTATGAATTCTTACATCTTCATAATCTTATTGTTCCTCCTGCAGGTGTTCCCTATAAAACCTTTGGCTATGTCAACATCAATATTTCAGATGCCGACCTGAAGAAATGTAAGTGACCATAGCAAGTTCAGCATGAAGGCTGGTGGGGTGGCGTGAAATGGCTAGCCTAACTCTGTAAAATCCTCAGATTTAACCCGGATGTCTAGGCCATTATCAGTGACAACCCCAAACTTCTAACTCTAAACATGTGTTTTAGGATTTAAGGGTTGTCATCCCCACTAAGTAAGTGGGGTTAGGTTAATTGGAGACTCTAAATTGTCCACAGGCGTGAATGCAGGAGTGAATGTGAGTACAAATGGTTGTCTGTGTATATGTGTTAGCCCTGCGACACACTGGCGACCTGTCCAGGGTGTACCCTGCCTCTCGCCCTAAGACAGCTGGGATAGGCTCCAGCGCCCCCCGCAACCCTGAAAAGGATAAGCGGAAGCAAATGGATGGATGGATGTTATGTTCCAAGGTGCATAACACAAATACAACACAACAAAAGCAATATATACAAAAACCAGGAATAAGAAGCGTAGTTACAGTATATTTAAGTCTAAATAAGAATTGAGAGAAGCACAGATGACTATTTTGAGGGGAAAAAGTAAATACTTTCTTATGTGTGTCAGTGAGAATTATTTTTTTGTTTGTTTTATATTTACCAAAACCTTGGAGAAAACAAACATATTCTGTGAGCATAGGGTTGGAGTTGTCACCAGTGATGACTTAGACCTCACAGGGTTAACTAACTTATGTAACTAATATTCATTCACACTGTTAGTGGGACGCCTCATCCGCCAAACTGAAGGAACCCTTCATCTAAACATGTAGTTAACACTTTCAGTGAGAATTATGTTTGTGTTGTTTGCACCATTGAGTAAATTTTCTACAGTCTGCTTTCTAAACTAACATAAAAAAAAACTGTTGCATTATGAGATTGGTGTGTTTCTTCTGCAGGCCTGACAGTGCTAAACAAGTCTAAATGGAAAGGGGGAACTCTGCAGATTGAAATAGCAAAAGAGAGTTTCCTGCACAGGTACAACCACGTCGATCTCGCCATGTAAATCTAACACTAACAGAAAAGTGGAAATTATTATTGAATTATTAGGGGGGTGATTTTTTTTAACTCAGACTTTAATATCAAGGCTCACAACTGTTGATTGTCTGGTTTGAAAATTCTGGATTTTATGTTCACCAATCTTAAAAATTTGATCTCTGTACCTGTAGAAAATTATTCCTATCTATTAGCTTGACAGCTAAAAGCTCTGTATTGACTGTGTCATAGGCTGGCTCAGGAGCGGCAGGAGTCGGTAGAGCAGCGTCTCCAACAGCCTGCAGCTGAGGACAAGAGACAGAAGCTTCTGGACTCACTGAGTAAAGCTGGTGTGGACAACTTCACCATGAAGGCTGCGGTTCCGGGGACCGAAATCCCAGGACACAAGGTCTAGTCATACTCTTTCCCTCAAGACATGATTATAACGAATGCACTTGCTCTCTTGTGGGGTCATGTAGTCACAATGTGGAAACCAATTCTTTTAAAAATTGAATCCCCTTAACATAAATTATTACATTTTAGTTTTAAGGGTTTAAGGTTGGTGTTGACTGTCCTCTGGTTTCAGGACTGGGTGGTCAGTAAATTTGGACGGGTCCTCCCCATCTTGCAGCTCAGAAGTCAGAAAGGCAGCAAATCTCGAAACCTGAAGTACGACCCATCGAAATACAGCCACAATATTCGCAAACTGGACCGAAACACCATCCCTGATGAGGCCACACCTGTGACCCAGCTCACCTGGGAGGTCCAGGGTGGGGATGATGAAATCAGTAAGAAGAGGCGGGGAGAGTTCCCCCCATGTGAGCCATGGAGACCCAAGAAGAGTCGGACAGACAATGTTTCTGGCAGAACCAGGTATCCATGTGACCTTTTCAGACTATTCAAGTAAACCAGGCTTGATTTGGTTAATCCACAAGGTCTCAGTTGGTTTCTGTCTCCAAGGGCCTCTGGGATTTTAGATTTTCCTTCCTCGATCCACTTTGCCTCCTGGACATTTTCTGTAATTTCTGGGATGCCCAGGTGTTAGCTTTGGAATTATGAGGGATATCTGCTGGTACAAGTGATTCTGACATATTTATTTCTGGAGTTAAGATAACTTTTTTTTTAATGACTAAAACCTCTAATGGATTTATTGTGTTCTTCAAGCCACCTGGTTTCTGAACTTGTTAGAAGTCCACACTTGTTCCTGACATTCCATATTTCCATTTTTTTTTAATTCTCAAAGGTTCCTATCAGATTTCCTGATGTTCCTAGAGCTTTGCAAGCTTTCAATAATCTGTTCTGATTCATGGTTTCTGGGTTTTTGGAATACCAGTTTATGAATATTTAGTGTCCCTTCCTTTTGTTGATTTACCTTAGATTTGAACACCCTGTCAACTCTGTCAATCGCACTGAGGCTCATCAGCTCACCAACGGATTTGAAAAACAAAACAACCACAGACTGGCACAGAAGAAGTGGACACGCTTTACTGACAGCGATGCCGACTCAGAAGAGGAAATCCGCAGGCTGGTGGCAGCTCAGCAGACCTCCCATGTTACACCACAGCAGCAGGAGGTGGAGGAGGATAATCTGGAAGTGGTTGGATATGACTTCTTAGCAAAATCTGGATGCAAAGGTAACAGATGTGTTTGAAACAGGCAGTTTGCGCATTTTAAAAATTCAAATTTGTCATTGTTTATGTTTACAATTCTACCTAAGTGATGAGTTTAACTTTATGGCTGCTTATTCATTTTACTTTCAAATGCACATGTAGGTTCACGTGTGCAAAAATGCAATAACAAAGACTTCTCACACAGGATCCTGTTGTACTGAAGTAACCATGAAAGCCACAGGTTTCATTTTGTATGATTTCATTTATACTTTGACGAGCAGAAAAGATGCCAAATTCTTAAACAGATTACATCAAGTAACCTGATTTTTATTTGTGGATTTTTGTGGCACATTGACTGCTAATTCTATGTAGTGTGTGTGTGGATGCAGATTTCTAGGGAAGAGTGCGGTATTAGCTTTATTCAAACCATGATATCAGGGATGTTCTTTCATTGAGTGACGCTGATCAGTACCAAATTATGTCAAAAGTCACTACAGTAAAAATAATAGAATTAAATATAAGTGAATCATTGTCATTTTCTCCATCCCAGAAAAAAAATTGATCTTTGGAATAGCAGGTTTTCCTCTTTGTGATTCCAGGTGATCAAGACAAGGATGACTACGACTCTGCTGACACAGATGAACTCTTTGCATCGAGGAAACCTCCTCCTGCTAAATGTCAGGAGAAACATACTCCCCCAACAGCAGAGCGCCTCTCAGGAAACAACACAGACAAGAAGAGAAAAACAAAGAAGAAGAGAAAAGCTGGAGAGCAAGAGGAAGAGGACGGATCAACAGATGATGAAGAACACCTTACTTCTAGAAAACCGTCCTGCGTGCAGCAAAAGAGGGATTCTAGTGAACAGAAGCTAAATAAGAAAACTCGTGACCTCCCTGTCGTAAGGCCGTCCTCATCAGAATCAGATAGGGATGAGGAAGATGAGGGTGATGAAGTAGACTCGGTAGATTCATGTTCAGACTCTGATTATGAAGCCATGTTTTCTAATATCACCCATCTGGAGATTTCCCTGGCTGACCTGCAGAGGCTAGCTGAGGCAGCCCAGCAGAACTCAAAGACTGTAGCTCCCAGCTTCCTCGGAGCTGGACTAGAACAAGAAACGCTTTTCCCGTCTTTTCCTGCAGAGCAACCTGCTCCAAAGAAAGGCTCCACGCCTGAAGAGATCCTCGCCATGATAATGGAGGACGACAGCAGCGAGGATGAACAGAAGAAGAAAAAGAGGAAAAGACAAGCTGTCACGTCAGCACCACTGCCTGCCTTCCAGGGCACAAAAGCATTGAATGAGGTATCGGAAGACGAGGAGGAGGACGATGGAAGAGGAAGAGAGGTTAAAAAACAGAAGATGAACTCTGATTCTACACAACTGGTTCACAAAGAAACAGACAGCAAAACCATCACAAGCGTAAGAGACCAGAACCATGCAGAAACTAAGATTTCGGACAGCAGTGAGCAAGAAGAAGATGAGAGTGATGATGATGATGATGATGAGAGTGATGATGGTGATGATGATGATGAAGAAGATGAGAGTGATGATTGTGATGATGAAGATGAGAGTGATGAGGAGGAGGAGGAAAAAGGAAAGATTATAAAAGACATGGTTCCTCCTGATGTTTTAAAAAAGGTTACAACTAAAGTTTGTGTAAACACAGAAAAGGCTGAGACTGAGTCTTCGTCTAGCAGTGAAGAAGAGGAGGAGGAGGAAGTGAAGCAGGGGAGGGTGAACTCCAGTCAGATTGTTGTAAATGTTAAATCTGCAGGCAAGGCTTCACCTTCATCCTGCAGCTCATCTGGAAAGGATAAGAATGAGCCGCAGGTCATTTCTGCTAAAGGGGGTGTGAAAGCAGCTTTGAACAGGGAAACCTCCACCAGTGAGGAAGAGGAGGAGGAAGAGCTGGCACTCCCCCGGATGGCATTAGGAGTTGAGGAGGAAGAGGAGCGGCAGAGACAGGCCAACATGAGGAGGCTGGCTGCTGTACAGCAACGACAGAAAGAGGCCGAAGAACATAAAAAACTCATCCAGGGAGCACTAGCCAACCTGGTGAGAGCGCAGCGTGTTTATAAGATTGTTATTGTAATAAACTGATTCGTTTGGAATTATTTTAACCTAGTTAATAAAATCAAAGCAGTACTTGAGGTTTGGAAGGGTTTTTGATTGATGTTTCTTTGGAAAACAAACAAACAAACTAATCTGTAGGACAGAACACAGAATTATAATTTTTCATTATTAATGTAAAATTTCATGGTTTGATTGTTTTGTTTTTTTTAAATATATATTTTTTTCTGATATTAAGAACCTAAAAACATGTCAAGTATATCTACATATTCCTCACTACCTTTAAAAGCAGGCAGCAAAGTTTCAATAAAACTTCAGTCCTCTTTGTGTGCTGAAGGCTTCAGATTTTCTTATGACACAATTCGTATTATTTATTAATAATAATTACTGATAATGATAAAACGCTGTTTCTTCATTAGGATGCTCCCGTGGCAGGAGCAGGGAAACACATCGTATTTGGCTCTGACGATGAAGAAGATGATGGTAATGACGATGGAGATCAGCAGAGGATGGACTCAGAGGTCTTAGCATCAAGGAAGACACTCTTCCAGGACGGCCAATCAGAGGATGAGGCCACTGGTGATGAAGCCACAGCAAATAAAAGTGTCAAAGTAAAAGCAGAGGTGAGTGAGTGCTGAGCTAAGGTCTCTGAACTGGAATATAAGAATTTAAAGCTGCATTCATCCACCTTTATTTCACCAAAGATGGTTATTATCAGTAGACATCTTAACTGATCGTGATAATGTGGCTCTAAACGGGCTGTTTTTTAACTTTGCATTTGTGTGTTTCAGATGCGTCTGAAGTCATCGGGCCCTCAGCTGTTTGGCGGCAGTGACGATGAAGATGAGGAGGATGGCAGCAGGTTTGACATCAAGCCTCAGTTTGAGGGTCAAGCAGGACAGAAGGTGAGAAAAGAAGTTCCACACTGTTGCACAGAGGTGGTCATAATGTTTTAGCTCAACCGTGGACTTGTGCAAACTCGAAACTTCGCACTAAATATTGGTTTGTTGTTTTTTGCTCAGCTGATGGCGCTGCAGTCTCGCTTCGGGACAGATGAGCGTTTCCGGATGGACTCTCGCTTTCTGGAGGAGGATGAAGAGGTTAAAGAGGAGGACTCAGGTGAGACTGTGGATGCAGGTACAGTAGCTGGTAAATGCAGGAAAGTAGATCAAGATGGAGAAACCCCGTGGGTTTTTTTTTTATGTGCTCCGGGCCAGGTTATTTACAGCATAACACAACTACCATTAATTTCTTCCTATGAGATATTATGGACCTTGGTGTGCTTTTATTTTCTGAAGCTACATAAATCCTTTTGAAATATGGAAAATATCATCAGTCTATTAAAGCATCACCAGCTAGCCTGAAATTACACAGATGTTATAGATAAAATATTTTTTTATTAACAAAACAGTCAAGCTAATTTTCTGTTTGAAAGCAGAAAGGTTTTACCAGTTTAGTTGTGCTGTAACACAACCTCTTTATGTTGTACATCATGCACACTTCTTTATCTTCGATTCTAAGAATCATTTGTTACGTGTTTGTGATTCAGAGACAAAGAAAACCCTGGTGGAAGATGATGAGGATTTGGAGGAAGAGAAGAAGAAGACCCTGTCTATTCTGCAGAGTGTTCTTGGCCAACAACACTGCAGCAGCAAGACTGCTGGCAAAGCCAAGAAGTTCAAGTGAGCTTCACACAGCTTCTGAACTGGAACAAGTCATATTCACTGTGGAGAAAATAAAGAAACTTAAAGCTGTGTGACTGTGTGTTTGCAGAGATGTGTCAGCGCTTCATTACGACCCCAGCAAGGAAGAACATGCTGCATTTGAGACCAAGAAAGAGGAAGTCAAGAAGGAGAGGTACAAGCTCAGAAACATGAATTTCCACCTATTTTTCTTAAGTTCTCTAAATAAACTATATTAACACTGTGTTAAGCTGATCTAGATTAATGGATAGTTCTAGGATTTTGTAGTTTGTTGTTTTAGAGAAATCCAGTAGAAACTTCTGCACCAGCGGTCCCCAACCCCCAGGCCACGGACCGGTACCGGGCTGCGAGAGTTGATGCTCGGGTGTGAAATTTATGATTTTCAGGGTTTCTATCGGTTTTTAACTTTACTTTTTAAAATCGTTTTTATCATTAACTCCGTCTTTTCCCGTGTGTTATGAATAAATCTTCTTTTTTCTGGGTACCGGTACTGGTTTTATTTTGTTGTGTTTATCCACTACACCTATTGTCGGATGTAAACCGGTCTGTGGCACAAAAAAGGTTGGGGACCGCTGTTCTACACTCTTTCTATGGTATTTGTTTCCGCTAAACACTTCAAAACTAGATCAGAAAAAGTAGTAAGGGATGGAAATTTCTTTTTTTTTTTTTCTTTTTTTTTTAAAAAGAAGCAGGAAGATGTTTCTGACAAACACTGTTCAGTCAAACAAGTAGTACATTTGTTTGGATATTATTTTCCGCAGTGGATTTAATACAAGCCCTGCGACACACTGGCGACCTGTCCAGGGTGTACTCCGCCTCTCGCCCTAAGACAGCTGAGATAGGCTCCAGCGCCCCTGCCAAAGCAGAAGCAGATGGATGGATTTAATACATCAGATAATCATTATTATTGTAGGTGCCAGACTTTGACAAGAAACTACCTAAGTAAAAATAATATATAACAGTGACTTTACTACTTGTAAGTCAGCTCAGCACAGACCCAGACAGACTACATTTAGGGAATATCAGGGTTTTATTTTTCTGGGCTCACACACTGTAAACAACACAATGGCTGTGTGCTTCTTAAAAAGACCTCGGGCACGCTCAAGTGTCAAGTGTCACTCAGCCTTCCCTCACTCCTCTGCCTGAATCACTCTGCCCATCCTCTCCACCTGCAGCTAAGCAGAAACATCACCCTACTGCATCACAATCATAACTATGGTTCTGTGTGTCATCATTGTACTGGTTTTACTGTTAAACCTGAATTCTAACAATGTTTGTAATGTTGTTGTTTTTTTTGCGGTACTCAATATTTATGTCAATAAATGGTTTAATATGCTTTTTGCAAAGTTACAATAATAAAATAAAGTTTTTAGCATTCACATGTGCAGGAAACCAGAAAATTGAACCTGTGATCTGTTGTCTTCACAGCAAAGCTGCCAGGAAGAAGAAACGTGAGGAAGCTCAAAAGCTTCCTGAGGTTTCTAAAGAGATTTATTACGACGTGTCAGGCGACCTGAAGACCGTGTTCGGTCAGAGCAAGGATGAGACGGATCAACAAGAAGAGAAGATGAACTGGGACCAGAAGGAGGAAGAAGAAGAGCGTAAAGAGAAGGAGGAAGAGTCAGCCCCGCTGCTCTCTGTTCCCAGTGTGGAAAAAGAGGATTTGTGTGGATTTAAATTTTCCTTCTTTGGAGATGACACAGAGACAGGAAGTAAAGAGACAGGTAGGTAGAGCCTGAACTGATCTTAATCTTCCAAATACATGAATGCTGTTGTTTTTGGGTTTGTTTGTTTGTTTTTAATCTTTTCATTTTTCTCTAAACAGCCGACTACAAGGTAGAGGCCATTCAAGCTCCAAAGGTGTCATGGCATCAAGACCCACGTTTCCATGACAGCAGCTCAGAGGAGGAAGAGGATGAGCAGGAGGAAGATGAGGAGCAAGGCAACACCACAGCTAAAACTACAGAGTACGAAAAACAATCTGTGTTTGATTAGGAACTATTTATGAGAAAGATGAGAGCATTGTTGCCAGTTATTTTTGGTTCATTAACACAGCTGCTTTCACACACCTGACCAATCAAAGCATGAAGTGGATATGACTGTGAGATTGTTATGAAAGGAGACAGGAGATTGAAGGTGTGTTGAATCGATACAAAGAAAATACAGTATGATCTGAGCTTTTGTGTGTTTTTGTTGCGTTTTTACAGAGTGGTGATGCCGTCACACACTGAGTTCTTCTTCTTTTACCCTGATGATGACAGACTGACAGGTAGGATGGTGATTCCAAAGGAAATAAAAGAAAATTATCTTATTAGCTGTCTGTGAGAGTCAACATGTGTGTGGGTACATTTTTTTGCAAACTCAGAGGTGACAGAACTTATTAAACTGGTATCCAGCAGCTGGTTAGATCTGCAGATATAGTTTCATGTCAGTGGAGATTTCCAAATTTTTGTTGTTGCTTTTTTTTTTTTTTTTTTTAAATTGATAAAGGTTCTGATGTGTGATCTGAACACTGTTTTCTCCTTTAGATGGTCCCAAGTCGTTCTGGCGTGTGTCTGAGTTGGAGGAGCAGAGGGAGCAGTGGGAGGAGAGGAGGAGTGCACTCAGACAGGTACAGAGTTTGTATGAACACTGCTAAAACCGGTCAAGAAGTTAAACCTTGTTAGATGCTAAATCTTCAGTTTTAAGATTTTTTTTTTTATTTTTTTTTTTAAATGAGGAACACAGCTCCACAATTTGCTTTCACAGTGAGTGTGGTATACATTGCATATCATAACTTTATTACACTGCCAGACTGTTTTTGTAACACTAGGTTTTTTTAGTTTTTCTGAAAAAATCCAGTAAAATCTCTCATCTAGACCAAAAAAGGCACATATCTACACTCCCCTTAAAACCACTGCTGCTAATACTGGTAATTGAGTACCTTAAAGTGCCAATCAGTGAGGCAGTGTTAGAGAGAGTTGTGACTTATACACCTCTTACCCACCTTCTGGAGTTGTTTGGTTTACTAACTGCCATCTAAGTATAAATCATTTGGTACACATTGCAACTTCTTTGTGTTTTGACTCAGACAATAAAAGTAAACAAGACACAGGTTGTGGTGCTAAGGTCACCCTTCTACCCTGTACAGACATGTGATGCCACGGAGCTTAGAGGCCTTACAGCCTGTTCACCGGGAACATCTTGTGCAAACAAGCCTTTATTCCTCGACTTCATACCTGGCTGTATTACTTGCTGAGGCCTCAGTGTCAGCAGACCTGATCTCTCTAAATAAAACTTAAGCTTCCCGTCTGTCCATTCATCCATTTTCTTTAGTGCTTATCCAGCTCAGGCATGCAGGGGTGCTGGAGCCTGTCCCAGCTGTCATAGCTTGAGAGAATGAATGCTGGACAGGTTACCAGGCACTGACAGGTGGTCTACTTAATGATCTTGAAACCCAATCACCCAGCTACAGCGGCAGTGAGAAACGTCTGCAGTGGCAAGGCATCAGCCCAGAAACCCACAAGAGCAGCGAACCCAGCTGTCGTCCTAACCGCATGATCTCACAAAGTTCTAGCCCGTGATGGATGAAAGTAATCAAGAAGACAGAACTGGAGCAGAAAGATGTGTTTTAAAGTTTTGAAGAGACAGATTGTGGAGAAATTTTTCTCTATGACGAGTAACTTAGATAAAAATATTAGAGCTTTAAAAAAAATACTGTTTATGAGTTCAACATTTTCTTTGAAGTTGTTCGTGGGAGCATTTATGAGCACTGTCAGACAGTTCCATTACCAACCACAACTCTTTGTCTTCATGCAAGTCAAATCTGTAGGTGCATAAAAATGTCTTTGCCAAGTCTGATAATTATGTAGGAGTGAAGACGTAAAGTGGCTCAAGTTATTCAGTAAACATGTTTTGGCTTTCCCGTCTGTGTTCACAGGAGTACCGCAAGAAGCACAAGGATGCTCGGAGGAAGCTGACGTCCTCCCTGAAGAGCTGAGGATTGTGGGCAATGAAGTCTTTGTGTTTCAGCACTCACTGCCCTGAATTCGTGCCTGACAGAATTCATGCCTGACCGATCATTTCTCCTTTCTTGGTGCCAATTTTTTGGCTCGGACTGATTGTAGCAGTCAGCAGGATGGAGAGCAGATGGCTGCCAAAGACAGTGAACTCATCTGAATGTTTAAGATCGTCCAGAGTTTCAGATTAAATGTTTATTTTAGTGGGTATTAATATTTTTGATGAGATATTTTGTAGTAAGTTTGTTTTTTGTTTTTTGTAAACAGCAGGTGTTACCTGCTGTGAAAACATGAGTTCATACAAGCAGCAGCTCCCACTTATGGAGGACCAAACCTGCAATAAAAGTGGACAAATAAATAAATATGCTTCTTCAAATTAAAATAAGAATAAATGAAAATGAAAGGTATAACTTAACTAAACATTTTCTTTTCCATTGTTTCTGGTTTCAGGAATATTATCTTATCATTATCTTTTCTTTTTTTTTTTAAATCTCACCATTTTTACCCCTCCGCCTGTAAATGGCTGATAGGATATTGTTGTCACCCTGCTGGGCGGACAGCATGAACACTCAAGTTTGTCAGTGCGATAACTCATAAATGAGGCGATGTAGGAGCTTCAAATTGATACCATAGTGCAGCTACTAAAACTCTCCCCTGAGTTTGAATCTTGTTGACCTCAAGCTAAAGGTCAGAGGTCAAGCTACCTGAAAATATTGTAAATTCCATAACTCAAGAAGGAAGACACCTAGGATTTTCAAATTGATATCGTAGGTGTATCTACTAAACTCACACAAGTTCAAATTCCAGTGACCTCGGCCTCAAGGTCAGAGGTTAAGTCCTCTGAAAATCTTTTGAATGTGCTAACTTCAGGATGTAGGATTTTGAAATTGATGCTACATGTGTGTCTACTAGGAGGCTGAGGGGTAGCACTGGCGGTCGTTTTCTCTGTTATTATTCTATTTGTTTATGTTTTGTTTGTTTTTGTGTAGGGTTTGGTCTTCCGCACTTCTGAGTTGAGCCACTTTGAATGAGAATATTAAAGCTCCTGTCGCCACTTTGGACCTGTTACCTCATGAAAGTCACTATGAGGAGAGGTTTCAGTCTCCCTTTGTGTTTTGTAAAATAATTTGAATGCTTTCAGTTTATGGGAAAAAGTTTATTAGATACACGTAACTCAAACCAGTCCAGTCTAACGAAGAGTCAATTTAGGATAAGATGAGCTTTATTCTCACTGTGAGCACAAACATAAAATATAATTGGAAAAAGCATATCTGTTGTATATAGACCAATGTTGCTGTAGTTAACTAAAAGCTACATAAGAAAAAAAACTAGACTTTTGAAAAATAATTTAAAGTAACTGAAACCATTTTGTGAACTTGGAAAAATAAAATAAAATTAACAGTCCTAATGAGAGCAGCTTTAACAATGCTGAGAGTTATTATAACCAATTAAGTTATAATAACTTATTTGGTTAACTTTGACTTTCAGGTCAGAATTAAAATGTTCCAATATTTTATTTTTATTAATTTCAATTAAATTTTATTCATACAGTGCCAAATCACAACAACAGTTGCCTCAAGGCACTTTGTATTGTAAGGTAGACCCTACAATAATACAGCAAAGAAAACTGCAAAAATCATACGACGCCCTATGAGCCAGCGCGTTGGCGGCAGTGTGAAGGAAAAACTCCCTTTTAACAGGAAGAAACCTCCAGCAGAACCAGGCTCAGGGAGGGGGTGAGAGAAGGAAGACAGGATAAAAGACATGCTGTGAATAATAACTAACTAAATGCAGAAAGGTGTATAAACACATTGTGCATGGAAGAGGTGTCTGAAGGAGAAATACTCAATGCATCATGGGAATCCCCCAGCAGCCTACTAGTATGGTATTACAGTAGTAGTGTCTCATATTCTACACTAAACACAAAATGGTTTTTTAGAAAAGGTAAATATTGTCTAGCATTCTTAGAGTTTAATATAATTCACTGCATGTGTCATCTTTATCCAACTGTCTGGTGTTTGGACCTTAACTTAGTTTGTTCCAGTCAGTATGGAGCTCTTAAAGAGCGATCTGTGGTCACAAGACTTTTTTTATGACCCCTTTTTTTATTATTTTGAAATGTGTCACCGGAAACTCCGTGTTTTCTTCATGGTGTCTTGATGTTGGCCAATAACAAGTGCTGGAAACTGAGCAGCAGACTCCAAACTTCTCCGTCAGGACTGGAGAGAAGCTGAGCTGCGTCACAAACAACATTTTTTTTATTTCAGGAGTGAAGTTTTTCTGCAGCACATGTCTGTGACACACACGGATAACACGGAGCAGTTGCATTTATTTAAAAAATGAGCTCGGTTTGGTGTGTTTTGCTCCTCTTTCTGCACTGCGCGGAGCTCCGGTACGCAGCTCCGCTGGAGGCGCAGCAGGCGGAGGATGCTGCCGCACCACCTGCGCGCAGCCAGGCGTCTCTCTCTCCGGAGAGGAGCTCTCTGAACGGGTTTCAAAGTTCAGGACTGCCCGGTGTAAAGCGAGTGGCCCGAGGAGCCAAAGATGGGGGCTTCAGGAAAAAAGAACCGGTTCCCGCCAACAGTTTAGGGCACCCGCGCCGGTACGACGACCCGAGCGCCTACTTCACCACACCGCGGACGTCCCGCTTCACCTCCGCCCCGGTGGGGAACCACTCGTCCGGCCGCGGTTCAGGGCTCCACAACCCGCTATTCCCAGTTACCGACGGCTCCTACTGGGCGTACGCAGTCATGCTGCTCGCGCTCGTCCTGTTCGCCGCGGGCATCGTTGGCAACCTCGCGCTCATGTGCATCGTATGGCACAACTTCTACCTGAAGAGCGCGTGGAACAGCATCCTGGCGGGCCTGGCCTTCTGGGATTTCCTCGTGCTGTTCTTCTGCCTGCCTGTGATCATCTTCCACGAGCTCACCTTGAAAAGGTTGCTAGGAGACCTGTCCTGCAGGCTCGTGCCCTACCTGGAGGTAAGGAGGATTTGAAGGTGCGCGTGAAGGAAGTGTTTTAGTATTTAGCCTACAAGCAGCACCTTTTAGTGTCGTGTGAACACCTGTAACTTTCACACACCCGAGTTTTACCATGTACCAACTTTTTCCTGTGTTTCCACAAATTCCCTTAATCAATGCCGAGATAAATTGTTTAATAAATACTTACATGTTTATTATAGATGCACTTAAAGTGTTGCCAGGTGAAGAATCTGCGTAATACTTTGTTCAGCTGTTTTACTGAAATGTTTAAATATATTGTCACTTAATTTGTCTTTAAGTCATTTCAGTTTTTTTATGCAATACATTTAAACACAATCGACCTCGATCAAAGTAATTAAGACATCAATAAACTGTGATAATAAATTAAATAAAAGCTGAAGCATCAAAAAACAAGAAAAGCGATTATAAATTAAACACAACAATGAAAACTGCCTGAAGATACTAAACTATTCAACAATTAAATTCATGATTAAAGAGTGATCAATGATTAAAACTGAATGCGATGTTGACTTTTCTTTTTTTTAATCTAATGGATAGACTCTAATGTCATTATGATTAATCTTTGATTTTACTGAAATACATTTCTAAATTGTGTGAAATAAGTAAAAAATATCTATGATCTCCTGACTCAATTCTAAATACATTTATGAAACATCAAGTTCTAGGATAGTGATATAAAAAGTTCAGTGATATAAAAACACTTTTATACTCATTTAGTTGATTGGAGGTCATTTTCTGCAGGTAATCTTTCATTGGTTGTTTATTTTAGCATCATCCTCACTGCAGCCATTCAGAATTGAACATTTCTGCACAGATAGCGAGGCAGCGAGGCAAACTTTCACACAAGCATGGAAGTTTTTACAGCTCGTGTTTGACTGATTTTAAGTGATTTCCAGTTTAATAAAGAGACCTCCAGGTCTGATGAATGGCCCGTTTGTGTCTTTGTTCCTCCTCAGTTTCAGCAGCCTTTACTTTGAACAAACGTCCGTTATGGTCTGTTTGGCCTCTTCACCCGTCTGTTATGAACCATCAGGGGAGGCTAGTGTGGGGCCCCAGCATGAAGAGGCTCTTCTTCCTCAAGAACGAAACAGTGAAATACAGAGACGTAGTTTTCAAGAATGGTGGTGTTTATGTGCAGGTGCAGCTCCAAAACTAAGTCTCAGTAATGAAAGAGAAACTGTTGCTAATCCTGATGAATCACTGAATGAACAAAGAATGAAAAGAAATAGAGATATCAGGCCGTCACTGAAAGAGAGCTCCATTTCTTTAAATGCAGAATACCAGCTCAGGATGGGCCAGCAGCAGCTCAGTTTGGAATTAAAAAAAGCTTTTGTACATGTTTTTAAATCTCTATTTTGAGGCCCAGTGTACACCTGAGTTTAACTGGCATACAGGGAAAAAAGGCTTCCGGCTTATATGGAGGATAAAAGTACAAATAAAGATATTGCTTTAAAAATGTAGTGATTAATCAGACGAAGCAAAAACAGATTAGACACTTGGGATATAAAATGGTATTTAAAGAATGCTCTTGAATATGTCCTCTTTTAGTGTTTAGCCTAAATACAATTTGAGATGCTGACATTTAACTTAGTGGATCTTCTCTGCATCACACAACAGTGATGTTACTTTGATTCGCTGCCTTGGACAACAGAAATTTAAAGAACGTATCATAGAAGACCACCGGGTTTTAAGGACCTACTGAAAAATAGTTTTCATGATTAAATAGTCTTGTCATTATGTAAAATATCAGAAATGAATGAAAAGCAAGACGGTTACAATTCCTTAAAGACCAAATGATTTAAAGGTATTGGAAGAGGCCTCATTTAGAGGTCAGTTAAAAGCTGAAGCAAGAGCTTAATTTAGATTTACTCTCACTGAGCGATGAATGCTTCAGCACAGAGATAAAGTCCTGCAGCCTGTGGAGTCTTTGTTTTTGGCTCTAAACCAGCTCTGTCCGCCTACACAGCTTCAGATCACTGAAGTGGAGTTTCACTAATTTGTAATAACAGCTTGTGTGAAGCAGTCTTTAACAAGGTCAGGCTGCCGGCCTCCTCTATTCTTTGCAGCTTTACCTATTTTTATGCTAATGAGTGAATTAATTTCTGGTTAATGAATTACTGTTGTTTTGTTTTTCTAAATGCTCTTTTACTGAACAGTACTGAAGCAGGTCAGGCTGCCAGCTGCCCTGTGCTCCGTTAGTTAAACTATTTTCATGCTAATTAAAGCTCTGTGCTAATTATCTTGAGTTGTGTCTTAACAGTCTGAGGTCGTTAAGCACTGACAGAGGGAGGACAAGTCTCTGTAATGATAGTAAGTGTTTCTGGCCAAAACCACCAACTTTAATGGGCACGAGGCACCAATTACTGTCCGCAGTACGAAGGCTAAGAGCTTTTACAACACAATGACCTTTCCCCCCCTCTGTGTGTCCTTTCATTTCTGTTTCTGTGTTCTGAATGTTAATGGAAAGTTGTCTTTGTAACTTTTTTCTTAATGCTTGTAAGATTTGTTATTTAGTCTGTAGCCAGCATAAAGAGCAGAGGAAATCCTCAAACATGCTTTCTTCAAAGCACTGGTTGAATTATATTAATTCTTATTAGCATCATCTTACTGTTTATGCCAGTTTGAAGTAAAATGGTTAAACAAAACAACCTTTAAAATCGTTAATAGTAACAATATTTTGTTAACTATTAATAAATTAGGTATTAATATTGTATTGAACATTTATTAAACATAAAAACAATATTTGGGTAACATAATGGACCGTTCCATCAGGACAGGACAGATTTTTTTCTCTCATTAACTGTGTGGTGACTGACTGGGACCTGTTCTGCAGCTTCAGAAGTTTGAGTCATGAGTGTAAAAGACCAAAACATAAATAACTAAAAATAATTAAGAAACATTTGTTCTGTCATGGCTCTGAGCGTAGACCCAAGATTTTGTATTTTTGGACTGAATCAGTTTGTTTTGGGGGTTTTGGAGCTAATATTTATTGTTTTGAAGGCGTCTTTAATCTTCGGTTATTTTTTACGTTATCTGGTCTCTGTTGGTGTTTAGTTCTGCTTATATTCAGATCTCTCAGTCTTTTTAAGTCTTCAATTCCATTTCTGAGTCCTTGTAATGTAGATAACCTTTCATGTGCTGTAACTTCTTTTGACCAACCACCTATCCCACATTGTGAGATGACCTTTTTTTTAACAGAGCTCAAATGTGTTTCATGTGGCTTACTCCTATATTTTAAGTTATGCAAGCTCAAATATTTCAATCCAGAGTATTTATAGTATGAATGTAAAAAAAATTTCATGACTTCATTAAAATATTGAAGCATTTGTAGAAAAATAATCATCAGATTCTGAAAGGGTCAGGTGGGAGGCAGTGATTGATTTTTCAAGTTGGGCCCAGTGGGGGAATCAGCTACCATGGCTCTTTTTGAGGATAAAAAATCACACCTGGAAACACGTCTACATTATATTTGCTTTTTTAAACCAAGATCCTCATGTTGATGTTGTGGTTTGAATTAGTATATGACTGCAATGCAACTGTGAATGGATGTCTGTCAGCAACTGCATTGATTCTTAGTGATGGCTTATTAATATTATTTTTTTCTGATCAATTTCCTCACTCTGTCAGGTGACCTCTTTGGGCGTGGCCACATTCAGCCTCTGTGCGCTCAGTATTGATCGTTTCCATGCAGCCACAGGCCCTGGGCCTCATCAGACTCCAAAGGTGGAGTCCTGCCAGTCCATCCTGTCCAAGCTGTCCGTCATCTGGGTGGGCTCCATGGTCTTAGCTGCCCCGGAGCTCCTGCTATGGCAGCTCCTCCAGGAAACTGTCAGCCTGCCGACGCTTCCCAACGACCTACAGCAAAGCCAGCACGCAGGTTCACTGATGGCGGCCTTTAGAGGCCGGACTGAAAGGTTCAAGGTGGATATGTGTGTCCGTGAGCCATCTGTGGAGCTCCCAGAGAGCATCTACTCTCTGGTGCTGACCTATCACGAAGCTCGAATGTGGTGGTTCTTTGGGTGCTACCTTTGTTTGCCACTGCTCTTCACTCTGGCCTGCGATTTGGTGACAAAGCAGGTGTTAGCACAGCGACTACCACAGAAACCCAGCAGCGAAAAGGTGACTATCAGGTGCTCCTCCTCCTCTTCGTCTTCATCTTCGACAAAGAAAAAGCAGCATGTGAGGGAGCAGAGGCTACGCTCCACTGTGATGGCACTCACTGTCTTGTACATCACGTGCAACCTGCCAGAGAGTATTTGCAACATCACCCTGGCGTATATCTCTGTCCCAGTGACCGCTGCGCTTCCGGCTCTGGTTCTGCCGGCGTTGGGTCTGATTGGACAGTTCCTGCTGTTTGTGCGCTGCTCTGCGACGCCAGTGATGCTGCTGTGCCTGTGTCGCTCGCTGGGCCAGGCCTTCATGGACTGCTGCTGCTGCTGCTGTGAAGAGTGCCTCCCTGATGGCAACTCCTCTTCATCTTCCTCTGCCTCAACTGCTGCAACCTCCACCCTCTCCTCACCCACATCGCCTTCGCCAGTCTCCCTGTTTCCTTCCAGCAAAGAGGAGCCGATGAAGAGCCTGTTGCCGGCAGAACCAGCAGTCCATGAGAGAGTGAAAGACTCATCAGCAGCTATTGGGACACCCTGCTGAGGCTCAGAACATCACTTTAAAGGGTTATTTGGGGTTTAATACAACTTGGTTCTTAATTGGTAGTTTTGTCCAACATTTCAGTCGGGATAAGTATAGTCAAAAGAAGGATTTACACCTGCATTAATTTACACTCGGTGACCTCCATCAGCAAAAACAGACATGACAGATATGATATGAAAACAGGAACCAGAATGTAGGTGGGTTGCAAAGCAGCTTGCACAGGGGCGCAGTACATCTGAAATTGCTAAGGCATAAATTAAATTGCATGCTTCACATGAGATAGTTGGACATGTAGAAGCATATTAGCCAATCATCAGCTGATGCAGGTTTATCACTATGATCAGCTGATCTGAATGGATCATTACCTGTGTGTAACAATGTTATGCTTGATTTTACTACGATTCAAAGATCTGGGAGCACAGTTACATCACTAAGGAAGGAAGAGTTATCAGTACGGAAGAGAGGACGAGAAAGTTTGAAAAGATACCGGTATCGGGAAAGCTGTGTTCCAGTCTGTTTTTGTGATTTTAACCTTCATCTCTTAGGTCTAACAAAGGCGCTGTAGTGATTTTCCAACTAGGAGGAATTATTTGCACCCAGGTGTATCATTTTACTTTATAAATGCTGCCATTCTTCTTTTTTCCTTCTGCACAACTGAGTCCCATGCAAACCTTTTTCTGCGCTGTTAAGATTTCAAAACAGTCACTGAAAGTCTGTTCAGGTAAACCTTTTTTTCTAATGTGGTTTCTTGTTTGACTGATGAAGAATCAGATCTAAGCAAAAGTAAGGCAATGTTATGAATAAAATCTCAGCTAAATTCTACATACCGAATCGGAGCAAGTGCCCAGGTGTCTAAATACTTTTGGCAATACAGTGCATCTAAAAACTAGGTACCAGTGGTACAACCACCAGTCAAAGTTGTAGCTTGAAGTGGATCTGTGAATTATAGTGTGTGCTGACAAATGTTTACTTTTTTCTATTCCAGATATGTTTGATTAACTTGGAGGTTTGTTCTCAACTTGTCTGATCACCTGAGCTTTTTGATGTGAATACAGGTTATATATAAACTGCCATTTCATCAGCGCTCAGCTTTTAGATTCGTGATTACACTGTTATTGCAGGTGGTCAAACTTAGGGACAAAAATACCAAAATAAAATCCAAGTCGTTGTAAATCGTTCTTTACGTTTAGTCTGTATAAACTTGGGTAGAGCCACTGTAGAGCAGAAGTTTGTCAGACTAGCGTTAGGTAATTATTCAGATTATGGAGCATGTTCTAGATGGATTTAATTGATATGCCAGTTATTAAATGATATGTCATTGTTTTATGGTACAATTTACATTTCATAGTTATTGATAATTGTCTAATTCCCATTCAGGATATTTGCATCACATTTTCTAAGTACTGTATCAAAAAGGAAGTCATTTGAGTTTTGGGGGATTTTTTTTTTTTTGTAAGGCATTTAAACTGAATATGAAGAAATACAGCACCAGGACAACTACCAGCAGACTGATATTTTTCAACAGTTATTTGTTTTTTTTGTCTGTTCCTTTTTTAAAATATGTTATTTTACTGTTATTCCTCATACATAGCTGATCTGCACAGGAGACATCAAATATGTGGATACATAAAGTTCAGGTGGTACAGGTTCACAATGGGATCAATCAACATGCAGAAATGTGAAACAAAAGTTTGACTTTTTTTACTTGTTTTATTATTTTGATTGAATAAAATACATTTTGAAAAAAATGTGTTCTTTGCTTCTTTAATATCTGGCATAAACAACAGCAGACAGTAGACAAAACTATCCATCAATGACTTCATTTATGAAGAGAAATTAGTTATTGAGATAAAATGGTTTTGATTTTGTTTTTTTTTAATAAGCAAAAATAGCAATTTGAAAGCAAGACATTTATGAGGGTGTTTTATTTTTTTTTTCTATTAATAAATATATTGAAGTTGTATCAGTTTGCCGTTTACATCCTTGTCATTTGTGTTTACAGTGTAGGTTTACTGCATTATATGAAGGCCTTGCATTAGAGTGTGTTGTAGCTTATACTCAGTAAGTACACACCTCCAGCTAAGTTAAAAAATAACAATACCAAAAAAATTAATTAATAAAATTTTTTCATCTCATACACTAAAAAAGAAGAAAAAGCCCAAAAATGTAACTTTTTGAATACATGATTTGAATACATGTAAATTATCCCTGCAATTTTGTTACACAAGTAAAATGTCAGGTTTAATGGAATCAACTGAAATTTACTTGACTGATATACATTTGGTTTATACCAAGCACATTTTCCTTAATGATTAATTATTTGAATTTACCTTTGATTTTATATATTTAATATGTATTTTACTCAAAATTTGTGTTTATTGAGGGTGAAGAATCTCTTTTCATTGTATATATTCTTTATATTCTGCATCAGTGAACTTCACTTCTGCCTAGAAACAATGAACACACAGTGGGTTACATTGCATCAGTTCACATGTACACACTACACTTTGAGCTAAAGAGCCTGCAGAACTAAAACCTTTAACATGTTTGCCACAAAAAAGTCAGAAAGAAGAAAAAGTTCTCTCGATACTTCCAGGAACATCAGATTTGTTTTATTTTTAGTTTATAGACAATTCTGAATGTGATTAATGTTAAACCTACATGTAGAGACAGAAAAAACAGGCTGGAGGACAGTGAGAGAAAACATTTCCTGAAAGGTGCATTACATGTAATGAACATCTGAACTCTGGGTGATTGTTGTCTGGATTCATTTTCTTTAGCTGCAGACGGCTCATGAACACTCTGATGTCTACTGGAAAGAATGCCTCTGCGCTGTGATTCCAACACCCACAGACTTAGAACGCTCTTCATGCCTGACTGTGACACCCCTTTTTGTCATTATTCAATTATTGAAGGTCACAGCTTCACAATAAGTGCTGGCCTTTGAGTTCGAGCAGCCATAATGAACACAGTCACTCTATGACCAGTTGCTTAGGAGAACAGACAGGAATTCCTTGCTTTCCCAATTTTTATCCACCCATGTATTTTAAAGAGGCCCAGCCTGTTTTCTCCTTTTTCATATACTGACGTGAAAAAGTTTGTCATGCTTCCTCCAAATGTCAGCATTGTGCATACAATGTAGAGCAGCCAGAAAATTTCTTCAGCACAGGTATGTAAACACACACAAAAAAAAAACCATTAAAAATTTATAATTATAAGAAAAACTTTCATATTATGCAGAAGGTAGAAGCAGGCGTTCACAACACTGAATCTGATGCACAATTTTTAAATTTCAGTCCATTATTTTTGAAATTGTTCATTTATATCGTGACATATAAGATCATATCTTGTATCCCTCTGCAGAAAACATAATATATGGATGACGATATCTTTGTGGCCTAATAAATTTAAATTATAGATTTTATTCAGCTTGACATTGGACAGAGTAGTCGATATTTTGCACCTCGTTTCCTTCGCTGAATTCACGTCGCTGCACTGATTCAATATTCTGGATCTCAGCAATTCTCAAGCTTTAAAATACTCTTACACAAAATAATGGAAAATAGTACTTCTTATTCAGTCTGTTTGAACATAAATCATAAATAATGCTTTTTCCACATATTACATGAATCAATATGGGCATTTTGTGTCCTTAACCTATACGCATCAGGAATTAATAGTAATGATTTTCTGTGCCTTTTCACTAATGTGCAAAGCCAGCAGTTTCCACATGCAGTACCTGCTTATTACATAAAAAACATTACATACTTTTAATCAGAATCAGAATCAGAATCAGTTTATTGCCAAATGTTGAGCAGGTTTACAACATTAGGAAATTGCTGCGGTGCTTCAGTGCAAACATAGTGTCATAAATTGCGATTAAATAGACATGAAAAAAAATAAATAAATAAAATAAAATAAAATAAAAGTAGGAATAAGAATTAAAAGTGCTATGTAGAAAGATATGTGCATGAGATATACATGAGATATATACATGAGAATAAGAATAAGAGAATAAGAATTAAAAATGCTGCACATACATGAGTGCAGGTGGTGATCAGTGCCAAGCCTGTAATGATGCAGTGACACAGCGTAGGGTCATGTGTTAGTGGCGGGGACAGTCATATGGTTATTGTTCATGTGTCCGACAGCAGAGGGGAAGAAACTGTTCTTATGGCGAGAGGTTCTGGTGCGAATGGACCGGAGCCTCCTGCCTGAGGGGAGCAGGTCAAACAGACTGTGTCCAGGGTGAGAAGGGTCAGCTGAGATCCGAGCTGCACGCCGCAATGTCCTGGAGGTGTACAGGTCCTGCAGAGATGGGAGTCTGCAGCCAATCACCTTCTCAGCAGAGCGCACAACACGCTGCAGTCTCTGTTTGTCCCTGATAGTGGCTCCAGCGTACCACACGGTGATGGAGGAGGTGAGGATGGACTCGATGATTGCAGTGTAGAACTGCATCATCGTCCGTGTTGGCAGGTTGAATTTCTTCAGCTGCCTCAGGAAGTACATCCTCTGCTGGGCTTTCTTGATGACGGAGGTGATGGTGGGCTCCCACTTCAGGTCCTGGGTGATGGTGGTACCCAGGAAGCGGAATGAGTCCACAGAGGTGATGGGGGTGTCAGTCAGGATGATGGGGGGGAGTGGGGCTGTGTGCTTCCTGAAGTCCACAATAATCTCCACTGTCTTCTGGGCATTCAGCACCAGGTTGTTGTGGCTGCACCAGGTCACCAGACGTTCAACCTCCCTCCTGTAGGCAGACTCGTCCCCGTCCGAGATGAGCCCAATAACGGTGGTGTCATCTGCAAACTTGATTAGCTTGACAGACTGGTGGGTGGAGGTGCAGCAGTTGGTGTACAGGGAGAAGAGCAGAGGAGAAAGAACACAGCCCTGAGGGGAGCCGGTGCTGATGGTCCGGGAGTCCGAGACATTCTTTCCCAGCCTCACATGCTGCTTCCTGTCCGTCAGGAAGTCAGTGATCCACCGGCAGATGGGATCAGGCACATTCATCTGGGAAAGCTTGCCTCGGAGATGGTCTGGAAGGATGGTGTTGAAGGCAGAGCTGAAGTCCAATGAATTATACAGTACATGTTGAGCTTTTCAGTGATGATTTTCAGTGATGATCTCTGGGTAAAAACTCCTTTTGAGGCAATTTTTCTTCACCTTGTTTGATATTAATCTTGGTTAATATTAATGTTATCTTAGGCACACACCTGTGGCTGTGAGTAAAGACGGTCCGCCCACCTGGTAAACTTTTTATTTGCAAGGCTCAGCCAATTAGGACAAAGCTGGCCTGCAGAGCTACGCCCCCCCTCTATGTCCAATATAAGATATATAAGGATTCCATTAAATTGGAAATCATGCAAAACTCATCAAAAGTCCAAGAATAAAATTCAGGAGATGAGAGTATTAGGCTTTCTTTAACTGCTTGCAGATAACTCACACAACTTCTGTGTCAATTATACATTTCAGAAAAAAGGTTTGGAGTACTTTCCGTTAGGTTTCAGTAATACAAACGCTCCAGCAAATGGACAAAATTTAATTTGACACTTAATGAAGAGTAACAGAGCACCAGAGGTTGGGTTTGATTCAGGAAGGGTGTAAAATTCCATCAAATGAAACACACGGAGCTACCTGCTTATAGCAAAGGATCAGTTCAAAGTACCTTCATCTTCTGGATAAACAAGCGGCCCCTGGATTTATCTGCTGTGCTAAAGCTCCCATCTCTTTAAATCCACCCTCTTTTTAATCCAGCTTTCTCCTGATTGGCTGCTCTTTGCAAACACACTGAACAAATCAGTCCAAATACCTAAAGTTGAGCCAGGTCTGTATTTGGGCTGAGGCTTGTGTATAGTTTGACCCAGAAAAGGTGATTGTCCGAGTGTCATGTGGCTCTACTTGGCTGGAAATCTGGGACAAAGAGGTTGGCTATATGTTTACGTGTAGAGTTACTTTCCTCATTTTTGGATTAGATAAAACTAAATGATAACTGCTTTCTGAACTTATTATTGGTCTTATTTTACCCAGTTTTTATCCGTTTTCCCTTCTGTGAAACCGATTAACACAAGTTAATGATTTCAAGCTGGCATATAATTTTGAGGTTGTTAATGTTCATTCTTGCAGGGAACAATCCCTGTGAAAGTTGTAAACAAAACAAAACAAAACCACAAGGAGGCACTTAAAAACCACAACAGACATGAAGCTGAATAAAAAAGTGGAGATCCAAATAAATCAGGTTTTTAATATCACAGAGTCCAAGTGTCTATTTAGTCCCAAATGGACACATTTAATCAGAGGATGTACCAAGGAGTGAAAAAACGTTGCTGTTGACTTTAGAGGTGTGATTATTTGAAGTGAATTAGGAAGTGTGACGTACATATACAACTTCACTTTGAAGGTTTAAAGCTTTAATTTCGCTGAGGACACCAGAGTCCCTTCACAGATGTTTTTACAGCCTTTGAGTTTCACTTT